TTAATATGAATATATTTAATTCGTTAAGAAAAAACATGACATCTAAAATTCATAAATTATGAAACGATTTAAGATTATTTTAGTTATGTATCCGCACAATGCAACAGGAACCGTATTAGAGAATATTTAACGATAATATAAGTTACACTTGATCTTTACATATTAATACAATTTGAATAAATAAGAGTTATGGTTCTAATTACAGTTTATCGATGAAAAAAATTGTATAACATTTAAAATCCAACATATTTAAACGACTCCACAAATGTATTCGATTTACACAAAGAACAAAGAATCAAGAGATCGAGAACGAAACCGAGAGTTTTAGAGCAATTGAAAGAAATAACTTTTAATAACTCATGATAAATATCCGTTTGAATCTCACATTGGGAGATGTGGAGAAGACATAGAGTTATGAGAGAGTTTGAATGAATGAGTAAAAAGTGTCCAAAGCATCTTGAGAACATGAAAAGAAAAGGTAATAATGTGTATTGGTAACTTGTACTATGTTATTTTAATTGTAGATTAAAAAATCTTAAGACTGAATGCATAAAGTTTCAGTAGTGGTACTTAATGCATTTTGAGTTGTTTTTAAGACTTTGTGCATAAATGTATAGTACTTTGTGCATTAAAAATTGTTTTTAAGACTTTTGATAAATCTGATTTATAAGATAATATAGATAAAGACAGAATAAATATTTAAGTAAAACAATTTAAACGTTTAGAGTATGTTTAAAACTAAAAAGATTGTACATAAAAAGGATACGTGGATTTGCTATGGAAAGAGAAGAATAAAATTGGTTGATTTACATAATATCATACAAGAATTAGATCCCAATTTTATGCTTAACTTAAAATTTTAAGTTTCTAGATTTATGATAGCTTTCGAGCTTAATTGATCATTTTCATTTAATTTTAATTTTAATTTTAATATATAATTTAGAGTTGAAAATAATTTAAAACATGGTTTAAAGAATATATTTAGTTTAGTTGGGTACCATAAACTTTGTCATCTATACTATATTATAAAGCATTTGGCTAAAACTTTTAAAAACTCTTAAACTCTTTCATCCCTAAACAATTTCATCACTATCCGATTTCATCCCATAACTGAATTCGTGTAACTAACTGTAGATAAACACAATCAAATACAGGATAAACATCTCATTTTAAATATAAAAAATCTAAAATATAATTAGAATAATCATTGAGTTCTAACAAAATAGTTAATTATTATCTTTATAAAATGATATATTATTAAACCAAAAATAAATTATTTCATTATTAAACTTAAATTAAATTAAAAAAAATAAT